AAACCCAGTGAAGGCCCTGCCACAAACCCATTGTTAGAAAAACAAAATAAAACTCTCCACATTGTAAAAGAATGCTATAAAATCCTTCAAAGGCACATGTTTCATTTTAGAGACTAAAGAATAACTTTTTAGGCATGTTTGAGATGGAGCAGAAAGTGGAAAATAGCAAGGAGTAGGGGCACCTTTGGTTTCCCAGCGCCCATATTTCTTGGGCTTCCTAACCACCGTCTGTCAAGAGGGGTGTGACTCTGTCCCAATTCCAGCCCCTTACCTCCCCTGTCACTCCCATAGGAGTCTGAAATACAGGCATGGCAGTTTATCATGTCTACTATGTCGGTAAAATCCTCCAGAATCAGGGATCTGGGAATAGTTGTGCCAGATGCCAAGAAGGAAGACCTAACTTAGCCCCAGGGAACTGTCTGGTTATGCAATGAAGAGAAGAGGCTCATAGCAAGGGCTTGGATGAAAAACCAAACTGTCTGTGATGCAATGAAAAACCCTCAAGCTTAAAACACACACAAATATACATTAAGTTGGCCAATCCCCAAGTATGGTGTCTGATTGAGGCCTCAAACTTCTTCCAGTCAAGGCATGAGGGAGATGCATCAAGCAAGCTCGCATTCACCAACATGTGTCAGGGAAACCATCCTACTTCCATCCTAGTAGGACATCATGTTTCCTTCTTTTTTTTTTTTAGTGGGACAGAGACTTGCTCTGTCACTCAGGCTGGAGTGCAATGGCGTGATCTTTGCTCACTGCAACCTCCGCTTCCTGGGTTCAAGCAATTCTCCTGTCTCAGTCTCCTGAGCAGCTGGGATTACAAGTGCTTGCTGCCACGCCTCGCTAATTTTTGTATTTTTAGTAGAGACAAGGTTTCACCATGTTGGCCAGGCTGGTCTCGAACTCCTAACCTCAGGCGATCCACCCGCCTTGGCCTCCCAAAGTGCTAGGATTACAGGCTTGAGCCACTGCACCCGGCTGATCATGTTTCTTTCCTACAGATCTTGCTCTAAGAACTGAAATCAAAGACCACTTCCTTGAAAGGACCAGCTGCTGTTCTAGGTCATAGAGAACCCATCTGAGCACATGTAGAGCACCTGTTCTGTTCACCATGATGCTGGCTCTACCACAATGTGGGTACTCAACAAACAGGTTCACCATTGTCAAGTACTGCTACCAACACTGGGTCTATCCAGAGATGAATCAGACAAGGCCTCTGCTCTTACGCATTCACAGGCTTTCAGAACCAAAGAGCTATGCACAGGAATCACTGTGAAATGAGAAACAAGGGAACCAGGACCATGAGAAAGAAGCATAGGAAACTGAAGAGAGGTGATCAGAGGAGGCTTCCTGGAAGTGGGATTTGCAGAGCACTGAACTTCTAAGGAAGAGGTTAACAAACTATAGCCTGTGTAAAGGTCAAATACAGCCCACCACCTGTTTTTGTAGGATTTGTGAAATAAGAATAAATTTTAAATATTTTAAGGTTTACATTTTAAATGGTTATATAAGCACTTATATAATATTTTGATTTTGCCTCTTAGCTACTAAAGCATAAAATATTTATAATCTGATCCTTTAAAAAAGTTTGCCAGCCCCTGTTCTAAGGCACACAAAAGACCCCAAGATGGTAAATTCAAGTCATAGCTAATGTTTGCTGAGAACTTACTGTTTGCTGTGTGCTACACTGTGCAGACATTACTTAATCTTCACAATATACCTATAAAGGTAATGTTATTCCCACTTCACAGAGGAGGAAACTGAGTCATGGAGAAGTTAGTAACTTGTCCAGAGTCTGGCAGCCAAAAGTTAGTAACTTGTCCAAAGTCTCGAGTGTAAGTCTGATCCCAAAGCTGTCCTCTCAATCACCAACTTTGATGCTTGTCCAGTTCCCTATAGAGAGAACATGTGAGCAGAAGCTTAAAGCTTGGGACACATGTGAAAAACAAGCCCTCATCTGGCTGGAAACAAAGGGAAGGAGAGGCCAGAAAATGGGTAAAATCATGGTGGGAATTGCCAAGTAGAGTATAATTCTGCAATGAATGCATGGCAAATAAAATGGCATAAGGTAATTTCATTGCAACAAAAGCTGTCTCTAGTAGCAAAAAATTGGAAACAACATAAATGTCTATTATTAGGTGGTTATATTATGGAATGTTATGTAACCTTTGGGGAAAAAAAAGGTCATGCTTTATCTTCATTGTATTGGTCAGCTACTGCTGTATAACAAGAAACCCCTAACTTTTAATGGCACACAATTAGCATTTACTTTCAGGTGTCTGTAGATCAGCTGAGCTCAGCTAGGTAGCTCTGGGTTGCTGGTTGGGCCCACATCTGTTCCACTCATTGCTCAGCCTCCTAGGACCAGCGGTCTAGGTATGTACACTCTTCTTGTGGAGATGCAAGAGACCCAAGAGACAAATGGAAACAAGCTAAGCATGGGCTCAGAACTGACACTTGACCCCTGTTGGCCTAACAAGACTCATGGACCAGCCCAAAGCCAAGGGACTTCCAGCTTTGGCAAAGGGAGCTAAAGAGTTACACAGCAAAGGGTGTGGGGATGAGAAGAGGTGAAGAATTAGTTAGAATGATGACTCAACCAACTTCTTAAACTATTACAAAACAACATCTAAAATGTAGCTGGATACTTGCCACAGCTGAAACTACTCCTTAATCACAGTGACAGCCATGTACATGGTCTCTTCCTCAAAAGCCAAAGTTCCATGAGGATGACTTCTACATCTGAGATGAGCCTTTTAACCCCATCCACTCTCATAACTCCATGTGGTTAACATCGCCTGTACTGCCCACCACCTTGCAAATGAAGTGGCTGACATCTGCTCTGCCTGCCACCTTGAACATAATGTAGCTGTCACATATACCAGCCCAACATTCTGCCACATTGCCCTCAAAGCCCCCCAGTGCAACCTGAGTAGATCCTGAGAGGAGGATGGACTGGGGGTTCTGAGAATGCCCAGTTCTGCATTTGAGGCCACACTTTGCTTGCTCAGGTGCCCAACTCTAGGCCTGTGTTCCTAACGGCCATGCCACCCTGCCACATGTGCCCTGCCTCCATGGCCACCAACTGTCAGTTGCATGTCAGGGATCTCCTCAGCTGCTTTTCCCCTCCAAAGTTATCCTCGACCCCTCCTTTTTTTTTTTTAGTAAAAGAAGTTTCACAGGCTAAAATCACATCTAGGGCATTCAATGAACCAGAGCCTTGATGACTGCCTATGAGACCAGTGATCCCAACCTGACAGAGCTTTGAGGCCAAAGGCAGGGGAGCAATCCTGGGTGGGCCAGTAGGGAGGGGTGTACCCATGGCAGAAAAGAAGGCAAATTTAGACGTGTGTGTGTGTGTGTGTGTGTAATTGAGTCTTCAAAAATCTTTCTGAAAATGTCTCCCCAAAAGTTTAAGAACTTCCAATTCTGATAATAAAGAACTAAGATAATTCAAACCAACCCTTCTGCTGAAGCTACTAAAAAAATCTGGGCAAAATATGTTTAAAAGCACTTAAAAATTAACAAGGCCGTGAAGAAGTACCAGGATCCAATCTGATGGCAGCAAGACCCAGGGAGGCGAGACCAACTCTCAAAGCCACGTCAGCCCTGTGGCATTTGTAATCCTGAAGAAACAGCTGGTGTTTTATCAGCCTGCTTGGGCACAAAATGCCAATGTCCAAGGTCCACTCAAGGTGAGGAGTCTTATTACCCCCCATTTAGAGAAGACCCCAAAGAACCACACTGTCAGGGTCAAGCAGCAGAAACACAGCCACAGCGTGCACTGTGCAGAACGCACTCTCCTGGTCCAATGAGTGCTCTCAATGAGCAATGGGTGGAGTGCACGCCTGCCCACTTTAAGAAGGAATAAACTTTCATTTGGTGAGTGACCACAGAAGGTCACTGTTGTTGACATCTGTTTTCACTTGAGGATGCACTATTAGCCATCTCTATGATTTCTTTGATGGCAAGTTCTTGGTTAGAAACACTGCCCCAAATCATTACATTGTGCCTAAGGAAGCACGCACTTCCATCTGTGACAATCAACTCTGTAACGTGGTTTATGGACTCGCATGGCAGCTAAAGTGCTGCCTCTGTAAATGCCAAGTTGTGAAATGCATTGTTTATTTTAAGCTAACCAAAAAGTCTAGAATCAGAAAATCGTGGGTTCAAATCCCTGTTTTTACCACATAGAAACTGTATAACCCTCGGTAAATTATGCACATTACCATGTCTCATTTTCCTCATCCGTAAAATATGGATAATAATGATAATAATAATACCCACAGTCAGAGGGGCACTAGGGGATGCCAAACACTCAGCCAAGTGCCTGGCTACTGCGTAAGTGCTTAATAAATGGCTGTTATTACTAATACTCATTTTAGCCGAAATGTGATCCTGGTTACCACAGTTTAGAATAATAATGATCCAATAATAATAATGGCAGTAGTTAATAGCAATAGCTATAGCTCGTAGGCCAGAGATCGTTCATGAGTCTCAAACTCATACCTTTGAACATCCCAAGGTGAGCAATTAAAGGTGCACTGTGTTCACATAACTGTGAGACACCGGCCCAGCACTGCATATTTTGCAAGTACATTTGATCTCTGACCCCAGAGGCTCCTGGGTCAGGTTGGGAGATAAGAAATGCACACTCAAGGCCATGGGCAGCTAAGAGGTCCCACAAGAAAGGAAATGATGTCGTCTCTGAGGAGAGAGAGGTAGGGAAAGCAACCAAGAGCTCCAGGAAATCCAAAACTGACTGCAGCCGAATCGGAGAACCTGGCTGTGAGTTGGGAGGCAGTGCACAAGTGTGAATGCGGGCAGAAGCTGCCGTGAATGTTCTCCCCTCCAGCATCGATCAGAATAGACAGCAGGCCCCAGGCAGCCCCACACTCGCGAATCTGTAGTCGGGCTGCTGCACCAGGGGCCTGTACCCGCCCACCCTCCCTGAACAGGGCCTAGGACTGGTGCAGGGGCTCTGTGAGAGCCTCACTTACTCTCTCTGACATCTTCATGGGCCACGCGGACACTGTGATCATCATTGGCAGCCTTCTCAGAGCTCTTGGTTCTCATAACTTTTTTGTTGCTGTTTTTACCTAAAGAGGGAGAGAGAGATGCCTTTACTTTCACATATGTCAGAGCTGGTTCAGGATGCTGAGTTCGACTGTCCTCTCCTGCACAGCAGCCATCTCCCCTTCTGTTCCCCTGTCCCTAAAGATGGTGTCTTGGACTCTAAGGAGTCTCTAGTTAAAGGAAAGGAAATGTGTTATTAGAAACACCCAGGAGAACAAACACTCCTAATAAAAACAACGTACACCTTCACGTTGTTACTATTATAAGACTGAAGATCACGCCTGTAATCCCAGCACTTTGGGCGGCCGAGGCATGCGGATCATGAGGTCAGGAGATCGAGACTTTCCTGGCTAACACGGTGAAACCCTGTGTCTACTAAAGATACAAAAAATTAGCTGGGTGTGATGGTGGGCACCTGTAGTTCCAGCTATTCGGGAGGCTGACGCAGGAGAATAGTATAAACCCGGGAGGTGGAGCTCGCAGTGAGCCGAGATCGCACCACTGCACTCCAGCCTGGGTGACAGAATGAGACTCCGTCTCAAAAAAAAAAAAAAAAAAAAATGACTGAAGAATACTTTTGGGTAGTACACTTGATCCTCACTGAGGCCCAGAGACATCATTTGTAGTTTCTGGAACTGGAAGTGGAGCCTCAGACTTGTGACCCCAGAGCTAGCATTTTCCACCCTGCTGGGCTTCTCCAACCTAACTCTCTCCCAGGCCCTGGCTTGGCACCTGTAGGTAAGGATGCTACCCCCATTTGGGGAGCCTCCTTGCCATAGCCTGAGACACCTGCCTGCCATGCTCCTGCTGGCCCCCTGGCTCTTTCTCAAACTGCACTCCCTCTCCCTGCTCCAGCAACACTGGCCTCCTTTCAGCCTTCAGTTCATGCTTCTTCCTCACCAGAACTTTGTACTATGTTGTTCCTCCTGGAGCACACTTCCCTTCCCTTCACTCTCAAACTAATTGGCTCCTACTGATCCTGAAAATCTCAGCTCTGACATTGCTTCCTTAAACTTTCCTGACCTCCCCACCAAATCAAATCCACTTCGATGGAAGTTGATAGCACCTGCTTTGGGTCAGGTTGCCTCTAGGTAGAGCCTGATGCAGGGGTTTGGATGCACAAGATGTATTGAGGGAGAGGGAGAGGAAGGGAGGCAGGATGGGATGAAGAAAGGAGCTAAGCAAGGCTGTGGTCTCAGCCAGAGTCAGGCTCAGCCCATCCCACAGGAGCAGCAACTACACACAGGGTTGTCCTGACTCGGGACAAGGAGCTGTCATTTCTACTGCAGTTGGCTTCTGGCTACGGCCTATGAGTGGGAGATGTAGCCTTCCAAGGGTGCTTCTGCAGAGGTAGAAGCAGGTGTGAGCTGCCTGAAGAGGAGACTCCTGGTATCTGGGGGCTGTGTGTCCCTGTGGGGAAAGAAGACCTGGGCGGGGCACTGGCAGCCACACTGCAGCTCTGCACCCATCTTGGGTGGCAGCATCCCAGTGGCAATGGGATGTACCTGTTGATGAAACAGGGATGACTTCTGGCTTTGCTCACTGCTCTGTCTCCAGAGTCTGGGACTTAGGAGGCTGTGATGAATGAATGAAGGCATGAATGAACAAATGAACCAGTCAGTGAGTGACAAACAAAAACAAGAGGCAGGGCAGGTCTGTGGAGAAAGAAACTTAGCTTGAACTTTAAAAGCCAGTTGAAATACCAAAATCAGCTGGTGGATTCTGCCAATAATGAAATCATTTCCGACTATGTTACAGTCACCTGCTAAAAGGACACTTATTAAGAAAACCTTAAATCTTCAAGAAATTCAAGGGGTACACTGGGCCAAGCCAAAGGAAATCACCTTTTTGTTATATTCTTGGGTGGTACCTGCTGGAAGTATCTTTCATTTCCATGTAAGCTTAAAATAAAATAAAAAAATTAAGTGTCCCCATTAGTGTCTAGAAGCCAATTAACTGAAACTTCTGTAAAGGCCAGGGGAGGAGGGCAAGTCGGAGACCTGAACCCACATCTCTGCCTGATGCTGCTTTGGCCTGTGTCCTGCTTCTGTGGGTGGGAACATCCCGGCTGGTGGGAAAACCGTGGAAGGAGGCCACTTCCATAAAAGCCTGACCGGAGCTCCATAGAGGCCTTAGTGGCTCCACAAAATCAGGAGCATAACTTCTGATAAGGCTGAGTTGGATTTTGCAGAAACATAAGATGTTTTAAGAAAAGGAAAGGAAAAAATTTCACAAAATATGTGAGAAAAAAAGCCAAAGTTCTGGAAAATAATGCCCATTCCAGCCTTCCCTAGAAGATGGTGTTCACGACAGCCTTCCTTCAGCCAGGGCCACCTCCATAGGCCCTCCACGGAACAGACAGTGAGAGAGGGAGTCAGGCAGCCCCCCAACATCACAGCCTGGGCAGCCCCCACACCACAGCCCAGCCAGCCCCCACACTACAACACCATGGCCCGGGCAGCTCCCAATACCGTGGCCTGCGTAGCTTCTAATACCATGGTTTAGGCACCCCCCACCAACCCCGCAACCATAATACTATGGCCTGGGCAGCCCCCACACCACAGCCTGGACAGCCTGCAATACCACGGCTTGGGCAGACCCCACACCATGGTCCTGCCAGACCCCACACCACAACACCGTGGCCTGGGCACCCCAGGCCCAGGCAGATTCAGGCCTATGAGGAAATGGCCCCGTTCAGCTCTGGGACTCCAGTGAAAGTCTGGATGTCAGGCGAAGGTCCTACTACACTGAGAGTGTGACTCTCCTGGCAGGGGGAGGGGGCTGGGATCAACATGTGGGGAACAGACTCCCCGAAGGGAGTGGCAGATGGGGCTGAGATAGCAGACAGGGGCCCAGCGCCTGCGCTGGGGAGGAGGCAGCTGGCGGTTGGGAGTACAGGCCTAAGGGCCTGGTTCCAGTCTGGGGTGCTGCCACGTCTGCCCCTGCATCCACAGGTGTGTCCTGGGATGACCTCATCACCTCTCTACACTTCGGTTCCCTCATCAGTGAAAGGAGAAGGCAACAATACCTGCCATGGTGGAAGTTACCAGCAGGAAACAAAAATGCTGCCTGAAGTGCTTAGGGTGGCCCTGGCCTGCACCCTCACTGACCAAGACCTGTATCTTCTCACCCATCACAAAGAGCTATTCCAGTTGCTGGAGGAATAATAGCTAATGTGCATAGCATGGTTCAAAATTTACAAGGCATTTTCACATAGATTCTAATAGGGTCTTTGCATACCATTTTATAGATGGGGATACAGATGCTCAGAGGGGAGAAGAGAGCTGCCCAAGGTCACGGACAGAGCCAGGAGGGGACAGAGCTGGAGACTGACTCCAAATCTGAGCCCTTCACAGACAGCACACAGGACCCCCCTTCGTAGCCCCTTCCTCTCTCCTAACAAGAAAGGCGGCATATGGTCCATGCAGATGAAAGAAGAAAGCAAAATGGAAACAGTGTGCAGAGAAGGGGCCAGGATCAAGCCAGCATCTCCATCTGGGCTGCATGACAAAACCAAATTCCTTAAAAGTAGCAAACTGAATTGCCAATGCGGGCCACATGTTCTATTCTGGTCTACAGTGATAAATATAATTCTTGGTTAATAGAGAACTATTTTTCCCCTCACTATACAAAGGGCTTACAGTAGCAACCCCCAGAAGCCAGAAAAAAAAAAAATGCTTTGCTGCAATTTTGCATTTTCCCCAGGAAATTCCAGTCCAGCTGGCTCTGCATTCCTACAGTGAAGGACCCAGCCCAGGGCTCTGAGGTTCTTGCCTGCTTCTGCTTAAGGAACCCACATTAGGAGAAAGAAATGACCAAAGAGGTTCTCTGGGGCTCCCCAGAATTGCAGCACTAAGGCTAAATCACCACAAACACACCAGATCTGCTGGGAACACTCACACAAGGAGAGCCAGGAGAACTTCACAGGTGAACACAAAAATCTAAACAAAAGCAGTGAGAAATGCCTGCTCTGTGTGATGTTGGCAGGGAAAGGGCCACGACACAGGGAGGAACCACCTGCACCCTTATCCAATTCTGAGGACAGGAAGCTCCCAGAGGAAATAAGAATCCAGGGGATCAGTGGGTCCTGAAGGGTGAGTTGAGCAGTGGACTGATGCGCTGGCTTCCATCCATCTCAATGACCTTGATGGGAGCTGGAGGGCAGGCTGTGGGCTGGACATGGAGGTACTTGTGAAATTGTCTAAGAACTTTTTACCAAAACTAGACCAAAATCAATCAATCGAACAACCCATCAAAATCCCATGGCCTGCCTCTCTCTCTCTCTCTCTCTCTCTCTCTCTCTCTCTCCATTGTGTCTTCTCTGGGAAACCTGCCTGGTCAGTCCTGCCTTCCTCTGGGTCAGCCTTTCATGTAGAAGACCTGGCCTCAGATCTGGGCATAAGGAAGAGTGGGCTTGGTTGGGGCAGCAGTGCCCTGTGGTCCCCCACTCTCGCCCTTTGTGCAGCCAGCAGCTGCCTTTCTGACTTGCAACCAAATAGAGTCCTTTGCCTTTAAAGAGACACCCCGGTAACAGCAGCAGGTGGGTATGTGCAGACACTGTGCAGGAAGCTGTTGGTACCTGCCAGTCTCATTTTAGATTCCATCTGGAAACAGAGCCTGAGACAAGAAGGCCTTGGGCACAGTGCTGTATCAGGGAGGAGATTTCAGGTAGCACAGGTGAAAAGGTGAAAGGGGAAATAGCAATAATTTAGGCTGTGTTGTTTGGCAGGACCCAATGGGGACTCAACCTGGCTGGGGACTCAGGGTGGGGTTGGGAGGGGAGACACCTCTGAGCTGCCCCTCCAGAGGCTTCGAGGCTGGGAGGCTGGGAGGCTGGGAGGCTGGGCATTGACCCATCCGATCGCACACCTCCTCCAAAAGCTTAGGTTATTAATTGTTCCCATGCCACACTGAGGAACTGAGGCTTGGAGAGGTCACAAATGCCCGTGAGTGGCAGAACCAGACTTTGACCTCAGCTCTCTCTTAATCCTGAAAAAACTCACCATGGGGCACCTACCTGTGC